TTACTGAATCATTGCTGAAATTCCTTAGTACTGTGACATCGATTTTTGCGAAATTCTAGAGCAGACGAGCAGTTTTCAAATGAATTTGCGCGTGACCTGGGCTCGATTTTTCGATTACAGGGATAGCGAAGCTGGAGAAGTGCGCGTCTATCCTGGTAAGCTACAGGTGTCAGAGTCATTCTGCATAGTACCTGTCACGGAAACGTCAACGGTCGCGGACTTAATCGAGGAAGCGCTCCAGAAGTTTGGCTTGGAGAATTTCAAGTCGGAGGATTACAGATGCAGCGAGATTCTTCTCGACCGCGGTGGTAAATTTCTATGAATCAAAAATTAATTTCTACGAAGATCTAGAGAGGAAAACGATCAACCTTGTGTTTTATATCATACTTTCATTATTATTATTAGTATCATAAATAATGACGGATGTATTATTCCATTCGTCCAGTCACCGAAAGAGTTCTAACTCGCGAGGAAAAGCCATGGGATATTGTCAAGCAGCTAGGGAAAGATTCGATCAGACAAATGGAGCTGATGCGATTTTACCTCCAGCTGAAACAAGACCCCCATGGACCTAACTTAGCGTTATTCGTGGGTAACCTGCCGCCGAATCTCTCTGAAAGAAGTTACGAGAACATGTTGACGGAATTCTTAGGCAAAGGTAACCAGCTCTGACTAAGCAACAGAATTTACAAATATTTAACACGATTAACTGCTCGAGTTTTTGTCGGTCTTTAACCAGAATCACACGATAATCGATACACTTTGATAATTGTTCGAGTATAATTTTCCCAGAAAACAAATTCTCCTCGATTGGTCCCATATACTACGAGTACGGCTCGATGGTAATTATCTACGAGGATGCGAATAAGGCGGTCAGAGCGTTGTACACATTACGAGAATCAAAATACGAGGACAAGCATCTTTTAGGTATCGTTTCACCCATCGATCCATGTTAAATGTCATTTTTACAGCGAGTTAATTCGATATTCCCATCGTTATAGTTATGCTGCTACCAAGCATCGAGCCCAGTATGGTTCCACCTGGTGTCCAACCTTTGCTCGTCTTCGTCAATGTGAAATCTGGCGGTTGTCAAGGACTCCAGTTGATTTCCAGCTTTCGTAAACTCCTGAATCCCTACCAGGTGTTCGATCTCGACAACGGAGGTCCACTTCCTGGGTAAGTACCATCTTTATAAACATTACAGATAAACCTTTCCTCTTCGTAACATTAGCACAAAGTGCGATGATTAATCAAGGATCGCGTACAGGGTGTGGCACTTGGACAACTTCCCTAGCTATTGAATTTACCAAAAACCTGTTTCACCTACATTGTCTGTACCATTTACACCAACATCTCACGCCCATTAATCGTTTAGAAGCCAATTTACATTAAAATTAAATAATAACAAAAATTTAATACTAGGTTTTTCGTTGTTTTGGATATTATTGATACGAGTTCCATTGCATTGCAGACTATACGTTTTCCGTCACATAAAGGATTACAAAATCCTGGTTTGCGGCGGGGATGGGACAATAGGATGGGTCCTGCAGTGTCTGGACAACGTGGGCCAGGACAGCGAATGTTCGTCGCCTGCCTGCGCCATCGTTCCTCTGGGAACAGGAAACGACCTTGCGAGGGTTCTGTGTTGGGGTCCTGGTTACACAGGTGTCGAGGATCCCTTGACTCTTCTCCGAGACGTCATCGACGCCGAGGAATCTCATTTGGACAGATGGACTGTAGTCTTTCATCCAGAAGAGAAGGAAGACAAGCAGATGACACCCAATACAGGAGGTCGGTCCCATTAGAATCTACTTGTAAATTGAGATAGCATAGACAACTATTTACAGAAACGTTATTTTTTAAATCAAAGCTGTAGGCTTATCGATAACTATTCTCAGAAACCTCGATTAAAGTGCAACAGGGAAATTGCAAAAACATGTTGCGTCTAAATATTACAGGAGTTGGCGCGACGAGCGAGGACAACACGCAAATATTCGTGATGAACAACTATTTCGGTATTGGTCTCGACGCCGACTTGTGTTTGGACTTCCACAACGCCAGAGAAGAGAACCCCGACAAGTTCAAGAGCAGATTGCACAACAAGAGAAAGTATGTGACGATGGGGTTGCGGAAAATGGTGAAAAGGACACCTTGCAAGGACTTGCACAAAGAAATTCGATTGGAGGTGGACGGAAGACTCGTCGAGTTGCCTCAAGTCGAAGGGATAATTATTCTTAACATTTTAAGGTATTACTCGATTTCCAAGTCCTTTGACCTGTAATTATCCAACGTTTTTTCAATGATTCTCTCTCGGATAATATAGTTGGGGTTCTGGGGCGAATCCCTGGGGATCAGACACGAAGGAAGATCAATTTTATACTCCAAATCACTGGGATGGCATGCTGGAGGTAGTGGGCGTCACGGGTGTGATGCATCTTGGACAAATTCAATCTGGTATTCGTGGGGGGATGAGGATAGCCCAGGTAAGGTCTGATTAAAATCCAGTAATTTTTAATCCAGTAGCCAAAGAAATGCAAATAATTTACGTCAGGCGTCAAATTTTATGAACAATATTCTCTGATCACAATACGATAGTAAGAATATCGAAGATAAAGTTATTTAACAAGACTCGAACAATAAAGGATTCCTTCCTCCTCGTCGTTAAGTACTGACTATCATATCTCTACCTCTCACAGGGAGGACACATAAAGATTCATTTGCAATCTGACACACCAGTACAAGTGGACGGAGAGCCGTGGGTTCAGAGTCCTGGGGATATCGTAGTGTTAAAGTCAGCACTGAAGGTAATCTTGGTACAGACAATCGTAACAACCCCATAATTCCGTTGAAATATAGAACAGAATGGGTGTAACGCACCGTAAGAGTAAACTCCAAACCCTCGCTAATATTTGAAACACTTAAATGTCCCCCCAATTTTTGCACTACTTTGTATTCCCATTTAACCCTTTGCATTACAACTTCTCCGTGATTCCTTACTTGTATCGATGTTATACGTTTTTTCTAATTACAGTGTTTTTGGGCACAGTAGTTCCCCAAGTTTCCCAAGTTTCCTAAGATTTGAAAATTCATCTTGGCATGGTTGTTTTAATCTTTTCAAGAAAATTAAGGACACGAATTGGTAATTTAATGTAATTTAAAGGAAATAACTTTCTCGTTTCGTTTTAAGCGCGCGTAATCCAGATCACCAGACATCACCGATGCCTAGGAGACACAGTTACAGTGCAAAGGGTTAACGATCGGATAAGGTTGACTCTTGATGCTAATGTTATTATCTCTATCTATATCGTGATCGGTACTCACTCATGCTGTTCGATTTCACATAGAACGATGGGGTTACCTATTGAATTGTTCGGAAAGATCGTGCCGATTTTAAGGAAAATTTAAAGGCAGCAATAAATTCTATATACACCTAGTAAATAACGTAGGTGCCACATAGAAGCTCACAATATAGGATTTCCTTCCCACTAGACACAAAGCATGACTTCTTCAAATGAAGACCAACTTTTGGCGGTGGCTAAGGGTGGTTCAGCTTTCCTCGTCATCTTTTCTGCTCAGTGTTACTATAAATATCATCTGTTGCTTCATCAGTGGTGGATGATCCACCTAATCATCAAGGATAAAATCACCAGCTTTGAAGCTAGCAAATCATTTGAGTTCTTTCAGCTATAGCACCTTCACCATAAACATTTCCATCAAAGCATCAAAGGCCTATTGCTTTGTTTCCTTCCACATTCAAGAGCACGTGAGACTGACAACAATAAATCTATACACGCTAAACGTTTTCCTAACGATGCCTGAAATATCTCAGTACCTTTTAGAATATATACACGTGTCATTTGCCTTCAATTATTCTGATATACTCAGACCTAATATGCTGATTACCAAAAATCGTCACGATCTTCGAGGACGACTCGATACATATTTGTCGCACGTTGACTCTCTGCAAGAGCATCCGTTCACGCTGGCCGCTAAATCATACTAATCGTGACGCTCTGCGCTGCCTTCATAAAAAAGCACAAACCCAACTGCTGGTGTCCGGCAGCGCATGCATTCCCTCCCCTGTTCGCACACTGACTAATATCTCCTTGTTCCTTTGTTCACTCCAGGCTACCATGTTGAAGAAAAATAAGATCAAGCGTCGGAATACCGAACCGTCGATTCCACCCGCTAATGGGGAGGGGGGCAAGAGCACGGACGAGTGTACCAACAAAACCTAACCGCAGCTTGCGACTAGTCGATTAAATTCATGATTCAAGTTTCGGTGCTCCGCCTAGACTCCCCGATTGTGCAGATTTCTGCAACAATGAGAGGGAGTTTCGGTGTGGGTACGCCATGCGCAACATGTACACTACATGTATCTCCTGTATAGTAAATGTCCAGTCGATGTTTCCGTCGCATGTAGCCCTTCTGTGCCACTATTACCGATGTATGGGGGGTGATTAACAAATTCGTGGAATACAACCACCTTTTATCGTTGATATTGGGAAACAGCTTGGACGACTTCAAACATGATTTTAAAGAACTTTGGGAATATTTGCAGAAGTTTGATACGTTAGTTGGGTGTCATCCTTGGTGAAAGTCGCTGTTTATACGTGATTTTTGCTATAATTTTATTATACTTCTGTGGCGTGATAATTATATTTTTATATTTGATTCGGAATCTATGTCGAGAGAGTAACGATACCTTGAAGATTTTACTTCGTTCAGGAATTTATTAGTTACCCTGACATACCTAAATGCTCAGCGCCATTCAAGCTTGTTGTTACACAATGTTGTGAAGAATTGCAGGTTTGTATACAATAATAATTATTCGGCTAAATAATTTACAAAAGGAAAGAAAGAAGACGAGTACTTAAACAAAGATTTAAATCTCTGCACAAATACAATGTTCAAATACCATTTTATTCTTACGGTGAAGTCTATACTTTTTCACAACACTGTGTGTGGTTTAGTTGTTATGCATATTTTTTCCAATAGTATTTTTCAGCTTGAGGCATTAACACTTCAAGGACTCTGCGAATTTGGAGATCAAACTTCCATACAAGCAAACTATGACACCAATCATTATAATAAAAATTTGTCGAAATTTGCATCCCTTAAATATCACGCTTAAGTGAATTAAAAGTGTACCTGACATTTTACAAATCTTGACCATCAAGAACATCGAACCTAAAATTCGTCTTGAAGCGTTGTGGAAGGTCGTGGCAGATGTCCTTGGAGTGCTAAATAACTTTGTTTCTACTTCTGTTGATATACGATCATCCTCTTGTCCGTAAGTTCTGGCTGTGTAAGAAGTGTCGAGGTATTGCTGTTTACATGGTCACTGGCATTGACATTTTCTCAAATTGCTCCTTTGTGCGCCCCCTGTGACCCTGTCCCTTCCTAGGCCACGATGCTGAAGAAGACCAAGGGTAAAATGAAACGGCGTAATACAGAGTCCAGCATGCAGCTGGCCCTTCAGGCCGCGCCCTCGAGCGAACCGGAACCAGAAATCTTCTGAGTGACAGAACGTTTCCGGTGCAAGCGGATCCAGGATGTCACGTCACAAGTACCACGTGTTTACGCGAGAAACATCGCAACGCTATCGCGCGCAACAAATGAAATCGGCCTCGAAATTCGTCTGTCTGAGCGTCGAGTCGCGATCTCAATGGTCGCGATGCTCCGTTACGAACTTATTACGTAGGCACAAGGAACACGGGAGTTATCTCCGCTCATAACGAAGACCAACAACACACCGGGAGCTCCTTCCAGGATAGCCAGGATAAAGAATCCATGACGTACGCACGATAAGATCGAACAACTAAAAGGAAAAGAACACCGCAGGATGAAACAACTCGTTTATGGACATTTCAATAATGAACTCGAGTAATCTTTAATGTTCCCTTCCCGAGTTGCTAGGATGAAAAATAGATCTCATTTTTAAATGTTAATAATCATTATATAGCATTGTACGTAGCTTCGATCGATATTTTTTTAGTAACAAAAAAAAAAAACGAACAAAGAAAAGAACGATAGTGAAACAAAGTGAAAGAAACCCGAACTATAACGTATTATAGAGGAAGAAAGAGACGGGAACCAAACCGCGGACACAACGTTAACCAAACATTGCAACATTGATCGCACCGTTTCCTCCCGTTTAATCCGCTTTGACAACCCATTTACTTCCGCAATTTTGCGTTACCGTAGCCCGTCACTTGGTCCCGTGAACGAGAGAATGACGTGAATCGTAATCGTACAATGGCGTTTCGTATGGTATTTTACTAATCCACAAGTAAGTATTGTGGACACGATAAAAAAGATCAGTTGTTATTAATATATGTATATATATATAATATATATATATATATATATAAATAAATATATAATATTTATGATTAAATATTAATATATTTACAAAAAAGAGTAATGTATTAGTATTACCGTTTTAAGTTGTGATAACTGTTGTGCGTCTGACTGCTGGGCAGTCTGGAATTTATAACAAAAAAGATCAAATACCAGTGGCAGTCAGTCATTTTATAGGTTACGAGAACAAACTAAAAAGAGAGAAAACAAAAAAAGAAACTATCTACGAGGACGAGTAAATGTAACGCGTTTAAGTAAGGGTTAACATTGTCAGCGAAGCATTTCGCCAACTCGTCTCGATGAATACAAATGTAACGCAAACGGAATAATAAAAAATACATCGCAGACGACTTGGCAATGCTTCAATCTTCGGCTCTAGCAACGCCCTTTCTATACGAAGGGATGTATTGCAAGAGCCACACGGTATGCAAAACACATTCCGCTGTAACGTGGTGAAAGGACATACGGACATGTACATTTCTAAACTATGCCAAAAACAGGAACTTCTAACGTGCTAACACTTTCATGCTGTTTGGACACCTCTCGATACACCTCGGTTCTGACGCAAAAAGGGACGAAACGAAACGTCGACCACTCGAGCAGCGACGTTCGTATACAAACGCAAGATAGGACACCTTCGCACGAACGAAAGGTGGCATCGAAGAAATCGAGGATCGACGCTAGTTGGATCGTCGTGGCCGGGGAACATCGTGGATCGTGTTCATATTTTGGACCCTTCGTTGGCATCATTCGATTAAGAGACAATTTCGGTGCCAAACAGTTGTACATAATACTGTAAATGTAGGAGATAAACGAAATCGTTATTCGAACGGCAAGGATGGTGGAACGAGTTACCGTTGCATGCCGATCGCATTCGAATGATCGCATACGTTAGGATACGCTAGGACCCGAACACCTAGGTAAACGTGTCGCGTGCGTTTCGATATGACCGACAGGAGGGATTGGATGTATTAGATGCGCGAACAAGAATGAGAAGAATTTCTTAAAATTGGGAGTAAGATGCGTTTGACACGTTTGATTTTGCGTTATCGGACGCTTCGTAGAGTAACGGCTCCTGTGCACCTCTAGTTAACTTCGTGAGTCCTCTCCATTATGGGGGAAAACGTTTTCTTTTGCCAGTAATAGAGATTCATCGCGGGCGAGACCGTTCATTTCCGGATGATTGAACAGGTCTCGCCCTCCATTGGTCACAACCTGCCAATGATGCACGGGCTCAGTCGTTCATCTTCGACATCCGGTGTTTACGAGTATGAATGGCGCATCGGCGGCAGATTGAAGAACGCGTTCCGTTTGTTAAATCGAGGAAGCTCTAGCGTTGCTATACAAGAATAGAGAAACCATACTAAGCTACGAACCATTTACGTATAATGGATGTATGTGCTGTAAACGAAAAAAAAAAAAAACAAAAAACAAAAGCTAGCTGTTACGACTGAATTCGTTTCCTGTCCTGTCCGACGAGACACGCTGTTGTACACGCGAAACTTTTCACACACGTACACGTACACACGTACACACGAACACAAGCACTCAACACTTTTACCGCTCGAGTTTGGTCTATTTTCTTTTCTTTTTTTTTTTTTATTTTATTTGTTTAGTAACGAACTCGACGAACACTCTTCTTTCCTCGAATTTCACATTTGCATTTTATGGATATAGAATTTGTTGAGAATAACGCGATTTCGTTATTATTTTCTATCGATTAGGAACAGAGTGATACAGAAAGCGAGAACGAGAGAGAGAGCATTGTAATTATGAGATCGGATGTGACACGTTTAGGGATGATTTTCCTTCGTGTATCTTAATTTTAATGTCCAGATTATATATACATATTATAACGACATACTATGTGAAAATAAATTTGTTGTATTATATCAATACAGTAGTGCCGTCATATAAATCAATTGCTGTCGTTATGGATTTCGTCGGTTTCGTTCTACTTCGCTACTTTCTTTTTTACGAAGATAAATTTGAATTGAAATAGATGGATGGATTGTACAAATAAAGGTTGGCGAAAAGTGGGGGAGATCAGTTTTTTATACTACTCACTGAGGTAAGTATCGATCACTGGTAGTCCACTGATCCACTGATCGAATCATACGTGTCGAGAGAGGGAATTGTTCGATAGATACACCTAATATAAAATGGAAAGGGAATGCATAGTTGAAGGATTCGTAAGTAATAAGTGTATTACTTAGAGATTTTACAATTTTTGATATGTTTCATATACACATTAAGTACATTCTTACAAATTACATACTTATATAGTTACAAGGATACAACAAGACAGCCAAACTCTGCTATCCAATAATTTACACGTTAAATTATTACATATAAATCATTACAAATTTAGTCGATCTTATATCTGGCTATTTCACAAAGCATTCGAGCTTCGTACACAGCGTAAATTTGTAGTTTTCTTAGAAATTATGGCTATAATCACTATTAACATAATTAAAAAAATAATTTATTATGAAAATAAGGTGATCAAAATTTCTTTCCACTTTCGAAAAAGCTTTCAAGCCCCCAGTTTGAGTTGTTCGAAAGTGACGTAATGTGAGCAGATTGTTGTAAACGAAGACATTTTTATGATCAATTTCAAAAATTTACTTTAATAATCAAATAAATTTGAAGATAAATAATTTATTAAAGAGACAACCTAAAAATAGAACAACCTATTCGAAATTAACGTAGTATAGATCGTAAATTAATATAGGAAATATTAGACGTCATTTTCCTTTATTTAGTCACGTGATAAACGAAAACACACTGGAATGCTTGTATAATATAATAAGAAAAAAAAATTATTAAAAAAACATAGAAATCTGTGTATTACTTTTACAGAAAACTATAAAAGAAAAATCGATGGAAATGATAAAAAAAAGTTCAAATTCGCTGAATCACGAGTCGGAAGACACGATGTATTCAATGTAAATCGTTTTAATTAACCCGTATAAAAAGTAAAATCAAAATTGTCGATAGATTTCTAATTGTCCCGTATAAACGATTGAATAGTATAGATAGGAACTTTTTAATCCTTTGCATTCGAGAGGCGACAAATTTCGTTTGTGTGTCTGTACACAAAAAGCCCAGCTTGAGGATTAACAAACAATCATCAACTGAAGTAATTTCTCAGAGTTATGTAATGTTTATGAATGGTTATAATATTTAATGGCACAGAATCGCAATAACAAAGTTCGAATTAATGTCATCCGATCCGAACAATGGTCATAATAAACGAAACAAAAATTATGCTATATGCGTTCGATCAATTTTTCTCGTATAAGTTATGGACTTAGATAATGACTATGCGTTCAACAAATCGTCATCACTGTCCGTCTGACACTGTGTAGGATCAACATCGAGAAGAAGACATGCCTCCTCCGTGGTGTCGACCTAAGATACACAACATATCAATTAACTATTCCCTTCTGCTAAAATTTTATACGACTATTGATTTATCATAAAAAAAAAAAATGTCGAAGAAGTGTATATCGATTTAAACGATAATCACCATAGTGATGTACCAGAGTAATTAGGCTATTATAGTATATTGTGTTATTAAAGAGCTGCAGCAATTTTTGAATTACGTCATATCAAAGCAGTATGATAATAATAAAACTCATTTTTTTTAACTTACTCTGCAATACTGAACGCGCCCACTGCCTCTTCTCGAAGAAAATGGATTCCAGCAGGAACGTAAACACGCTCGCTTATCTGGATCTCGAAAATAAAGCAGCGCTGCTACCAGTACGATGACTCCCAATACAATACCTGCTACCATGCCAGCTGTAACAGATAATAGTGACCGTCATCGTCATCGTCTCTATGTCGTTGTAATACTTACTATGACTAGAAGAAAAATCTTCAACGTTTCCATGGGTGTTTGACGACGTGGTAGGATCGCTAGGACTCGATTTGCAAGTGCAAGTAACACTCGTTTGCCATTCGAATTCTACGCTACATTGCGATTCCTACATTTAAAAATTAAAGAAGGTGTTCAAGAATGTTTCATAAAAACAGGGATACTCTTACGTACCCACAATAACTTTGGTTCGCCAATCCCCACAGAATTATTACATATAAATCGCACTTCAGATGTATAGAAATCTAACAAGAAATAAAAAAGATTAATTTTCAAGTTATTTTATAAGTACCCAACGCGTATTATACGCATTACTTACTATTTACACATTTATCACCATTGGAGTACTGAAGTTTTATAAGATCTCTGGCATAATCAAAAATTACATTGGCCAAGGATCCATAACCTTTGCTGCCTTGGCACACAGCAGAACCACTGCAGAACTTTTCTTCACCACATATACTTATACTATACTCTTTCCCTTGCTTGTTTTTCACCTGTAGTTTCATGTCCGATTTTAAAATGCTAACAGGCATATTTAATAATTTGTTATTGTTTAATAAAATAAGATATTATGTAATATCATTAATGGAAACTGCTTTACAATTATTTATTTCTACTTCCAACTATAAAATCACCATTATAAATATTCCCTTTGCGACTTTTAATTATTGTTAAGATTATTAAATATTAGCAACTTACACGGTATACTTTTTTATCTTTATGTAACAAAGACAGGTTACATTCTTGTGAAAGTAATTGATCTTTTATAATGCAAGGAGAGGCCCAATTTCCCATTACAGCCCCACATGTTAGACTCGTTTTCCATTCGAAAACGTAAGTACAATTTTCGTATCTTTTAAATTCTGGAAATCCCTTAAAAAAGCAATCATAATTGCTGTAAATACACGTAATTTACGCTACGCGTAAATATAGTCTAATCATTACCTTATCATTGTAACGACATGGAAACGTGAAGTTTGAAGAAATTAATTTATTTGGATTCTCAGGGCAAGGTGATCCGCTTATATAACGTAACACTGTTTCCCGATTTGAGTCTAATATCGGACTTTCTTTTGGAAACCCTAAACTCTATAATCAAATGCACAACTTTGATTAAAAAATAAACATTGGTTATTTATTATTATTTAAAAAATGATAATACATCACTTTTACTTACAACTTCATTTACGTACTCGTTATCCAAATTCAAGTATGCTTTGCATACTGCACTGCCGTGAGCGCATGTTAATCCTGGGACAGATACTAATGGTCGACATATATTTATATGAAACTCTGTATTTTTGTCCACTTTCACGATATAATTACCAGTAGATTTGATCAATGAACTTAAATTTATCTCATTGTCAGTTGTAGCACATTTTATCTGTTAAGTAAAAATTTTCATTTTTATTGTATTATATTTCTTAAACATTAACTACACGATCAGAAAGTAATGATTACATATACAAATAATTAAAAGAATTTTCAATAATATTTGACCCTTTTTTCGCAGACTAAATTGGTGCTCCAATGTATAATTAATTGGCAAGGACTTTGTTCCATGACAAGTGGTTTATTGGAAGCTCCTTCTGCTCCGCATACGAACGCAATAACTGTATAACGATGACGCCCATTTTTACATAAATCCCCATCTGTATAGTTTAAATATGGTCCACCCTCTTGCCACATTAAATTTGTGTTAAATTTTCCTATAGATGTACTATTTTTGGTAAGGCAAACTCCTATGTTTAAAAATAAACTAGTTGAATTATTGGTATGCAAATTAAACAAGAGATATATAAAACATTCATCAAGTAACCTGTTTCAGAGGAACATTTCATGTCATCAAGCGATTTACATACTCCAAATTTATACTGTATACCATTTTGAGCGGTGACGTCATAGTCAGCGTGAGTTAAAGATTGCAAATTATATCTATAATATATAATTTATTATAAATTTTTCAATGTATATTTCGCGAATGATCCATGTATACAAAAATTAAAATTAATCTTACGTAAAATTTGTAAGAGGATTAGTTACTGTACATTTGCCAGCAGTTATTACACTATGATTACGCAAAGATTCTATGCTACAAGCTGCTGCTGTTTTCCATATTATTTGGTAATGGCACTCTTCACTCCCCCCAATGTACTCTGGAATTGTATCCTGTTAAATGTGAAATAAACATTTACAGGAAATGCAACCATTAAATATAATAGATTGTAAGCCAAAACTTACCACAGCATTGAAATCACACATAAAATAAATGGTGGTTTTAATGTGTGGTACAGAAATATTTTTCATTGTGCACATATCTCCATCTTGATATTCAAGTTTTAATCTACCATTTTCCATAAATGGTGGGTGTGTTACATCGCCCAAATTTGTATATCTATAATAATATGTTGTCAATAAAAAACTCATTTGTCAATAATAAAACACTGCAAATATATTTTTAAGATAGAATATTCATACCCAAGTTTTGATGAATCAGTATTTTTTTGTAAGCAAGCTCCTGAACGCATTTGACACAAGGCATTATATTCAAATATCACGGAGTGGCAAATGTTTAATATAATTTTTGGCAACAACTCAGTACCCACACGAATAACATAATTTTCTGAATATCTTGTTAAAGGAGATAAATCATAATGGAATCCATTATCTATTACTGTACAATTTTGTACAGTTGGAGGAGCACAAGCAAGAGCAGTCTTCCAGACTTTATATAATTGACATTGGTCCTCTGTCTGAAGTATTAGTAATGACACAAAAATTAAAACATTTATTTATTTTTAAAATGAATGCTATAATATTATATTTTTTTAGTATAGTTACATGAGAAATTAATTCATGATGAGGATTATTTCCAGCTTCGTAATCACATTTCATAATAATATTTACAGTATAGTTCTCTGTTTGTGTACAATTATCCCCTGTAAATACAAATAGTATTCTCCCATTTTTTACATTCACTTTTGGAGGTATCTTTCCTATAATGCAATAAATTTTAATGATTCTGTTAAATAAAAGAATTAGTGCTCCAATTAGTGCTTTTAAGAAATATAAAAAGAACCTATTCCTATTTCTGTGTTGTTTCGTGTCATACAGATTCCATAACCATCCTTTCCATTGCATTTTTGTTTCAATGGAATACATAGCTGCATTCTCACAGTTTCATTTAAATAATCATCATTTAAAATAGTATCTTTTGTAGGATCCGAAAGACTGGTGAAATTGTAATTGAAAACTTGAAAAACAGGATCTTTAATTACGCAAAAAGAATTGTTGTGTACTACTGATGTGTCCTGTTTAAAAAGTAAATAATTGTAATATGTTTAAACGAAGACATTGATAAATAAAAGGCATTACATACCACGAAAACAGCAACAGTTGCGAGGCAATAAAAGGATATTAAAATGTTTAACTCGAACATTTCTTTTCTTTGTTCGACCGTGGATTAATCACATTGTAAATATTTAATGTAGTAATATGCATAACAATATCGTTAGTTGTTGAATGTAGACGAAAATAAACGATTGTTGTTCGATGATACCTACACGAAATTGACAACAAAAACCGCTTTATCTTCGTAGATATGAATTTGATTAAAGTAACAAATAGTTGAAGTTGGTTATATCTTCAAACATATGACAGGTGAAAAATAACATTAACAATTGAGAAGCCTATTGGCTGCAGATAAGAAAGCAACATGAACTTTCAATGATAACCAGATAGGATATTAACCAATCAGTGATGTCGAATTTCTCACTTCATTAGTATCTCTGCCCTTGCGTTCCAAAAGTCGTCATTCATTGATTAACATTAGTAACACGTGGTATTATAAAATTCGATAATAACAAAGTTATGAGACAAAAAAAACAATTGTTTATTTCTAGTAAGAATTGTCATCAGGCATAATTGGTATCTACGTGAATCTGCAATACCGACATCAGGTAATGGTTGCTTTTAAAATACTAGGGTAAGAACTTGAACGTTTTGCTGTTAGATGGTGCTGATTATAGGTTTAATATTAACTCGTGTTGTTCACTGCCAGATGGCTATTCATTTTAGTGGAAAAAAATTAAAACATCAAAAAGAACTATATATTATGAATATATTATAAATTGTTACTAAAATTATATATTTTTTTATTCCACATATCATAAGAGCGAATTCATGGAAAGCATTTTGAAATAAATTAACTTGGAAACTGGAAATTTCGAGTACCCTAATCTATTATATAAGCAAGAGATTTTTCTCAATTTAACACATATCACAAAATTATCTTTATCGAAGTAGTCATGATATAATCGTATTACACTTACGTAAGCTCTTGACAATTCAGGGTGAAAAATATCGTTTTCAATACTACTATAACGTGATGTAATACTAAGAAATTCCTTCCATATTCGTTCTGTAAATCTAGATTAGTAAGATAAGAAAAATATTTTTCGAAGAAGTAGGAAATTTAGAAAAATATCTATTCGAAAAATATACTGTCAATATCCCCTGTGTCCATTCCAATAAAAATTGTGCCATCTATGATGTACCGTTATGTAGAAAATCTTTGGGAAGTATTATCATAGTCCTCCCTTGGCTTTCACCTCTACTTATGGAATACCCCATATGCCTATGTGCGGGAAAACACAAACTTTATCGTTGAACTTACTCACAGGTACAGGGGAGCTAATTAAGCGTCGAATCCTCATTTACTTCGGAAATTCCGAAAATTAAGGGAAGTCCAACAAATAATACAAGTTCAGCGAGGAAGACCCAGAATAAGAACCTGTTTTGCAGGATGCCAATGCTCTACCGACGACCAACGTTCATCGTACATCGATCGTTAATGATTTATTACAGAGTAACTCGTTTCCTCATAAATTTGTTATAATGCACAACCATGGTATTATATTATTTTTGAAACTAAACGTCGGACGAATAAACTATAAATATAAAAAAGTTTCATCTTGTAGCCTCCAGCAAAAATCGTCTTACAATCGAAGGGTTAACGAACAAAAAGAATGATTTCTCGTGCCAGGGCACGTGGCAAACGGTAGCGAAAGGAGCGGAAACGGAAATAGTAATACAGCACCTCGCTAGACATCTGCTTACCCTTATGAAATTATCTCGAGAGATTTTTCAAGGGGTCCCGGTGTTCCAAATGGGGATACTTTTCACGACAAAGAACTACCGTGGAAAAACCCGGCTGCACGGAAGTATGTGATTGTAGGCCATGTGGCGACCAGAACTTTTCAGGATCAGAAACGTCTCGTCACATCTGGGCACTCGAACGCACGCTGCGTGTACCCTCGTGTCGCTGGACCACCGGAAGTGAAAAGAGGAAAACCTTTCTTCAAATGTTATCGCGATGTATTGTCTTTCCATCTAGTTCCGTTAGCGAAACAAGAAGGAATGTTTTGAACTTTCAGCCTTTTTTTCAATTTGTAACAGATGATTGAAAAGACTTTGTTTGTCTTCATTGCAAAGTACTGTATAAATATTCAGATCTAAGTGTTTCCCAAAATCACCATTTGGTGCATAGAGTACACGAATATCGAATTTCGGTGAGTACCTCCTGGAAAATGAATATTCTTGTGGGTTTTGTCCTTCGTCGAGGACCGAAAGCTGACATAACTTTCCTCGGTAAATATTTGAGAAAAAGTATGAGAAGGGACACGTGTGGGCTAAAATATTCGAAAGGCCTCTCGAAAGTCAAGCACCTGGTGTCTGGAAGACTATCTCTTGCTGCTCTGCTTCTTAGTTAGATAGATTGTACTATCTCACTATAATTAAGTCCATAGGTAAAACCAGAAACCCCTTTCTATACATGATGTCGTCATTACTCACTATTTTTCTTCTGCACAAAAACCATTCGTATTAATTAGAGTAGATCTTCAGGGGGCATATCGTCGTGTTCTATCTAATCAAATATTTTTCAAACTTCATATTTAATCATTTTTGTTATGGCGGCATGATCGTTTAGTAGTATTCTGTAGCATTTAAGATGTAGTCTGAGAAGTCGATTTTCAGTGTAAATCGGGGGTTGGGGGTCTTCACACGATAGAATAAAAATCTGTGTCGGTATTCCCTTCCTTCAATGAAATTCCAATGGTGCTTCCCCCACCACTTCACTAGCATGCGTTTATCTGGGCTAACAGTAGTAGCCCTGGTTCGCTCATTGGATGGTCGGTCACGTGGTTGTGTTCCGTCATACTGATTGTGAGACTAACACGCAGCGATAGGAAAGCGTGAGGACTTGAGGAGCCGTCAGTTCAGTCAGTTCGTGTCGAGCCGCTGGAGACAGAGTCTCGTTTATGAATCTCAATCCGGTTTGATACTATCAACATTCTTACTTCGCTCAATTTACACTATTACGCGGTCCGCGATCAAAATTTGATGGATCCCGTGACGGATGAAACGCGTTTGTGAAATAATGCGCAGTGTGTATACTCGATCGCAACCTTGGTCGAACAAAAGAAAAAGCAAAACAAAGAGCGTCAACGAGTGATCGCTACGTGACTGATCTACGTTAACTCTGGTAAGTGAAATCCTCAACATTAACTAACGGAAAATATTCTTTTGGTGGTAGAGGTAGTGGCAATATTTAAGAAATAGTTTCGCGAATAATGCGACGAAAGAGAACTTGTACTAATATCTATACTGTCTATAGTATCTATAGTAATAGTAATAGTTAAACAATGATATTAAAAGTTTATTTTGATATTAACATAACGATAAGTTATTTCTGACTCGGAAGGTTATCGTTTCGGTTGACAAAATCGATCTGCACATATTGAACCGGGTACGGATGTCGCGAGCTATGAGAATAACGAGAGTAAAGATTGCTTGCGTAAAAAGTGAAAGCGCGAAATTCTCCAATGGCGTTAGACACTCGTGTCGATTGATATGGTAAAATAGGACCTTCTGGATAAAATAGATTGCGATCATATACAACCAATTACTTTTGAGGTTATGTTCTTTAACAAGATTCGATTTATTTTCTTACTTCGCAGAAGAACACGCTGCACAAGTTTAAGTTTCCTATGATGTGTTTTCCAGGAAACGGTTATAGCCTTTACTTTACAAGTTTTATCGCAATTGTTTTCACACTCTTTACACGATTATCGATCGAAACTTCATAAAACTGTCGAGAGTTTTATATTACTAATGAAATTAATGTTAAAACGACAAGTTGACAGTTTGACCAGTCTCTCGCAATCCAAACAGAACGACTCCATTTTATGTAAATTCCAAAATTCCAGCAAAACATTGGCAATGTTGCTACTTACTTTACTTTTTATTAATCTGCGGCTTCCCAATATGGTTTCTAAGACAGAATTTACATGGTGCCTACTTGCAATTTTTTTTCTGCTGCATGATACACAAATAATTCTCGCGGATGGACCTTCTTTATCGCCATACTACTATCGCTGGTGAAACATCATTGAAAACACCACGTGTATACATGAGAGATAAAGGGACCACAACACGACTCGTTTATATTGCATTTTTTTATGCATGACGTACATAATTGGGAACAGATTTTTCTTTCGTTGTATGATAGATCTGCCAGTGTACATACAACTACAAAGTTTAATCGTGTTCTTTTATGTATTATACAATTTAGAATTGTTTAAGTCATCATTTTCCTGGTTGATAATCGTTGCTTGCTTAGTTTATTTTTCGATAGTGTTCACTTTTCTCATTAAGACTTTGTTACTATTTTTTACGAAACATATTTACGTACTATATTTCTCTGTTGTATCCTCATCCTTCTGGGACCAATGTACCCCTAATTGATATTCATTTTATAAATATTTCAGGAAGTACGTTTAAAAGTGATTGCACATATTTTTATTTATCTTCCGCCCAACTACAATGTCGCAGTGCGTTAGATAACAATAGTACAGTCTCCGTTACTTGTTGATATTTTTTCTCTGTAGCATTATGATGCTTTACACGAGCTTATAATCTTCGAAGAAGTATTTCTTCCATCGAAGAAGGTGTAATTATTACCTGTATTGCCTGTATCATAAAAAAGGAGCTATCATGCTGGTATGTACTTCGCGGAAGAGAATCATCAAGATTGCAATATTTTCAATCTTCGACGTATACGTTTCGTACTGTTTATCGATATCGCTGTTTGTCCTAAACAACCAGGCAGTTACCATTCACTTTTAGACTCTGCGAAGGATTATTGTTATTATTATTATTTATTTATTTATTTATTTATTTATCACAATCAAACTGGTACGGACATTCGAATATTTGCAATTGGAACTAGTCAAGTTATTTGTCAGCATTCCATTTTTTCAATAGGATTATAGAAAAGATTATTATTGTTCGCGAGTAGCTGTGAGAATATTTAATTAAATTATATCAAACTTTGAGCTGATTTTCATTTGTTTCGTCTCCACAAGGTTTACTTAAGTAAAAAACATTAATGAAGATGCTTCAGATAAATATTAATAAAATTCCTTATCTAAAGCTGTGCAAAATCCTACAATGTTATTTTACTGGAAAAAAATGAAGGAATGTACCTGTTCAGAGAAGAAATATCTTACATATCGCGTAACTCGCGTCGAGCTGGAAATTAAAAAAAAGAAAATTATCTCTCATAGTTCCCGAACAATTAGATTATAACACTTTACGCGGATTACATTGTGGACCAATTAAGTAGACGTCAACCTTCTGGGATTATAATACTCCAAACTTTAACAGACGTTACTCTCTTGAAAAGGAAGATGTTTATTATTGGAATTTCACTGATAACTAGAGTAATGGGGAACCGCGATCGTAATCGATATCGCTCTCTTCAACGATATCTGGCATCGTTCGATTTTAATTCGTTTCAGTTATTTATAATTCGACGATGGATCATTCGAGACGCCACCTCTTCACCA